CCCCCCCCCTTTGGTCCATTATTCTTTACAACATTGCTTCAGTTCGTTGGGGTTTGCAGACATTTGTTTCTACTCAGCTCTCTTAAGGTCCCAGTACAGGTGGTTCAACACAGCTGAACTTAAGTAGTGCTTAATTAGTAAGCCTCCTCAGTTTGTCAAGGTCTGCAGAGACCTACTAATTAGGCCCTCATTAGGTTCTTGAACCAGGGTAGCTCCTAAAACATGCAGGACATGACTTTGAACACCACTACAGCTTTCCAGTCAGATTGAGGTTCTGGACTTTGATTGGACCGCTACAGCACCTTGATCCATTTCCTTTTGAGCCAGCATTGTCTCGTTGTATCAGTCTGGAGATTGTATACATGTCAAGTTGTATGAATTGTCTGTAAATTTCTGAAAGTTACAGACTTTTAAGGGCCATAAAAGGGTTGACATGAATGAGTTTGGTCCAATCTTCAGCTGTCAGACAGATGGACACAAATTAAAGTCTAGAATCCTTTGGTCTACAGAGGAGTTCATGGTCGACGGCTTCTAGCAGCCCAAACCATTAACCCTCCACCACCGTGCTGACCGTTGGTAAGAGGGTTTGTGCTGAATTTCATCAAACATGCTGCTGTGCATTATGGGTAAGCAGCTATACTTTCAGGGTTCATATGGGTGCTTGAAATCCTTGAAAATGCTTGAATTGTAACAGAGTCTTTTCAAGGTTTGGAAAGTGTTTGGTTTCTGTATAAAGTCCTTGAAAGTGCTTGAAATTCTAACCGCACAGATCTGTGCTGGATCTCCGGCGTAACGTAGCTGGAGGGGATTGTGTCTGCCCAGACATTTAAAAAACATTTCTCTGGACCCATGTCGAGGCACAGCTGTCAGTTTCAACACATTATAGAGAGACGACTCGCAGCCGTGCAGGTGAATGCTAATGTTAGCTATAGTTAGCTAGACAGGAGCAGACGAGGAGTGGGGAGAGAAGAGAGAGGGTTAGTGCGCAGCCTTTCATAGTAAAATTGGCTGTTTATGTTGCTTAATTTTAGGAATTATATATAATTATTCATATTAACAATATTAACAATAAGAGGTATTGTGGCTCAGATTAAATCATTTGTCGACCATACATGCAGACTTTCTGTGCATTTATTCCAACGTGTTTCCGCATTCTTGGTAAATCGTGCCACAACAGTTTTTTGGCGTTGTCGGAAGGCCTTCATTCTGGGACCACAAATTTCTGTCTTTGTTAAATAAATATTGCCATAACAAGAGGTATATTTGTTTGAACAAAATTGTAGCAAAAGCTTTGTTTAACTTTTGATGTTTTTTCTCCAAAACTCTGACAGTGAATGAGTCAGTTTTAGTTTATCATAAATATAAAATGTTTTAAGCCCGACACCTTATAACAGCATTGAAATCAGGTCATTGAGGATTTTATTGAGCTAAATTTTTCATATAAACCCAGACTTTAAAGAAAATGTAATTTAATAATCAAAAATGAAAAATAAATGACATTTTTCACACATTCTGTTGATTTCGTCTGCCTAGTTGATTTGATTTGATTTATTGATTTAACAGGAAAAGATTACTAAAAATCAAGCCTGTCTCAGCATAGTTGCTGTTTTACAGCAGGTTCCTGTTCTGCAGCACATAAAACACTCAGAATTACAGCATCACAATCATCATTATACACCATAGACACAAAGACAAACAAGCATACCTATAACTCCCTCCAGGCAGAAAACGGACACAAGGCGTTCTTGATAGTTACTGGCATTTAATAATTATGCCGTGAGAACTGTACAAAAGACATAAAATACATTTTACAGAAAGAAAGACATTCACATAAAGAAAACTACAATAAAACATTTACAATAAAGTGGCTTGACTTA